GGGAGTGTTTGAAGCTGGACCGGGAGGGCGCGACGCTGCAGTGACGGCCGCGGGCGCTCGGACCCCTGCTGCCCCGCCTCGCCCGCCGGTGTGCGGCCCTCCCCGCACAGACATGGCGGCCCCCGGGGGCCGGTGCGGTTCAGGTGAGGGCGCGGGGCTCCAACGCAGGCGGCGAGCAGACCGCCGGCCGGCTTCTCCGACCTGTGGCGGCGGGCCTCGCATTTTCCCTTTCCTAAAGTCCCGTGCTGACTTGTCAGCTTCGCGGTGATGGAGATAAAAGCAGACGGCTCCTAGAACCTGGGCGGCGGGAGGGCACCAGCTTCCCCGAGCTCTGAGTGGCGGGACTGCCAATTGCCCTCTGGACCCAGGCTCTGCTCGGAGTTCCTAAACTCAGGCAGTGGGCGGGCGCCAGCTTCTCCCACTAGGGACGGCGAGGATCCCAGGATTTCCATTCTGAGCCTAGGTTCAGATTGCTAAGCTTTGCTAGAACTCAGACAGCGGGCACCAGCTCTCCAGTCCGCACGTGAGATATCCAGGCTTCCTTCCTCAATCCAGGAGGCCTGGGTTGCTCAGCTTTCCTGAACTCAGATCGTGGGTGGCCCCTTTCCAAGCACTTTGGTCTCCACCTTTTTGGGGGGAGCCTGGAGGAAGAACCCTGTGTTGGTTTTCCCTTCATGAGCTAGCTGGGGACACCTGAAAGGTGCCCCAGCTGGTAGGGTCTGGGGGTATTTACTGTGATCCCAGCTAGGGAAGCGGCTTCCCCTCCAGCTTCCCACCTGGCTGTCTCATAAACAACCACAGCAGCATCCAGGCTCCAAAGGGATGGGTCAGGAGCTGGCCCTCCCTGCAAGACAGGCTCTGACAGTGCCTGCAGCCATCCTGGCAGCCGGGGCAGGTAGGGGACCAGCCAGGCCCTGAAAAGAAGCAGCATTCTTCCAGTGGGGGGTAATGGGGGCTGTCAGGGAGGGTCCTGGGCTGCTGTGAGCAGCTTTGACCCCAGTGGTTGCTGAAACTTTGTGCCTACCTCTTAGACTGGTCAGGATTCAGGGGAATAATCAGTGCTCAGAATAGTACCTATTTGCTCAAAAATTACTGAGACTCGGGCTGAACTGAGGCTTTTATCTTCTCTGCCTCACTTCATTCTCAGAGTACTGTCAGGGTTTCAGCCTCAAGGGTATAGACGTCATTTCCACTTTTCAGATGAGAAGACTGAGACTTACAAAGGTGCCCAGGATCCCTCAGATGGGAAGTGGCAGTTCTGGGATTTGGTCCTAGGGCTCTATTTCCAGACAGCTAGCGCCCTTAATAAAGATACCATTTTAGCTCATAAGCTAACACACGGCAGTGCTGTACTGACATCCACTGGCACCCAGTGGGCCTTCAGCAAATGTAATCCTGTTACCGTCAGTCCCCCATCTCCATGCCTGGGGCTTGTGAGAGCATCACCCGGGTCAGCCAGGCCATGACGAGTGGGAAGGTCATTCTTGGGGTGTCTGTCCAAAAAGAAGAACTGGAATGTAGCTGAGCTCCATGCTCATGCCTGGAAGCTGGAGTTGGGATGAGCCCAGGAGTATCTTGTGAGGAGCCAGTGGAAGAAATTGATTCTCTCCCCACAAATCGGCCACAGGAATAATGATGGGATGTTTTGATATTCTTACTATGTACCAGCCCCTATGATAAACCTAAATATCAAATTCTGAGTTCTTTCTTGGCTGGAACACGGGACCTGCCTCCCCTGTTGGCAGGTGGGCCTACCTGGGCCTGGCCTCCACTGCCTTCTCCTGCTCTCACAGAGACCGAGCGCCTCCTGACCCCCAGCCCTGGGTATGGGACCCAGGCGGAAGCTTCGCCGGCCCCTCCAGAAGAGGAAGACCTCCGCCGCCGGCTCAAGTACTTCTTCATGAGTCCGTGTGACAAATTTCGGGCCAAGGGCCGCAAGCCCTTCAAGCTGATGCTGCAGGTGGTGAAGATCTTGGTGGTCACTGTGCAGGTGAGACACCAGCAGGATGCCACCTACAGCCACTGTTCTCTTGGAAGGAGAATCTTGTAGCTGGAGCCTTGTCTTGACTCCCTGGTGACATGATTACAGTGATAATGGCAGCAATCAGGAGGCTGCCTGAGCTCAGTATGGGAGCAGCTCCCTGTAACCTCACAAACACCTTCTGAGGTCCCAGCACCTGCTATCGCCCCCCATTTGGTAGATGAGGCAACTGAGGCTTAGAGAGGGACTTGTCCAAAGTCACATGGCAACCGAGTGTTAGGAGCTGGCCTTTGAACGCAGACAGTCTGATGCCATGAAGACTCTCAAAGAGAACCAACCCAGTGGCTTAGACAGATTAGTTGCCTCCCGTTCCCATGCCAGATCCTGTGCTGGGCTCTGGGGACCCCCAGATGCATCAGACCCAGCCCCTGCCCAGCATTGCTGCTGGTGTGTTCTAAGGCTCTGGCACATTAGCACACTCATCACTTCCCCTCGGGAAAGGGGCCCCATAGTAGTACTTACCTGTAGGTTGGGGTTCGGCACAGAACCCGGCACTTGGTCCACATTCAATAAACATTTGCTGCTCTTGTGAGGCAGGTGAGCTCCCCTGCGTGCGGCTCATGGGGAACGTGTGGTGGGCAGGGCAGATGGGGCGTGTGTCCTCAGCAAGTGGAAGTCCTCTCTCTCTTCCACTTCTACCCCAAGGGAGGCCCCACCCCAGCAGCATCAACCTCTCCCTGTCCCTCCCACCAGCTCATCCTGTTCGGGCTCAGCAACCAGCTGGCAGTGACATTCAGGGAGGAGAACACTGTCGCCTTCCGGCACCTCTTCCTCCTGGGCTACTCAGATGGGGCAGATGACACCTTCGCGGCCTACACGCGGGAGCAGCTGTACCAGGCCATCTTCTACGCTGTGGACCAGGTGCGGGTGGCCAGGGGAATGTGGGCATGTGGGCAGGCGGGCAGGGGAAAGCAGGCAGGGCTGATGGACCCCTCCCCTTTCTGCCCACAGTACTTGCTGCTCCCCGATGTGTCGCTGGGCCAGTATGCCTATGTGCCGGGTGGGGGCGGCCCCTGGGCCAATGGCTCAGCTCTGGCCCTCTGCCAGCAGTACTACCACCGGGGCCACGTGGACCCAGCCAATGACACTTTTGACATTGACCCAATGGTCGTCACTGGTGAGTGATGCAGGCAGGGTGTAGTTGGGAGCTCAGGCTGGGGAGATCAACCCCCTAGTTCTGCCTGCTCGTCTGGGAGGGGGGGATGTCAGTTAATAATCCACTGTATGCAGTGTACTTGGTGGAATTCTTGGCATGAAGAAAGAGCCGGGCCTTACATTTTAATATCAATAACTCACTAAACATTTGGGGGCCCTGTGGTCTGTAGGGAATAAGACCAGGCCCTACCCAGCAGGAGACAGGAGGAAACGAGCAATAAATATTCATGTACAAAGTGGGAAACAGAGTAGGGAAGCAACTGTCGGGGACCCTGGGGAGACTGTGTCCCCCTCAACCCCAGCATCCCTTCTCTGCCTCCCTGTCCTCAGACTGCATCCGGGTGGACCCCCCTGAGAGACCCCTTGTGCCCCCCAGCGATGACCTCTTTCTCTCGGATGGCAGCACCAGTTACAAGAACCTCACGCTCAAATTCCACAAGTACTGCCCAGTTGATGGAGGGGCCGCTCCAGTGCTGGGCTGAGGGCTGGGGAGGCAAGACAGCACGTGTCCTGGGCCCTGGCAACCACTTCCCTGCAGGCAGGGGCTCTGGAGACCTCATGCTGACCCCTGTCATGGGAGCGCTTCCTCTGCCAGCTGCAAAGTCAGTGGGGCAGGCGCGCTGCCCCTCAGGTGCCAGGAGGGCCTGGCAGAGCCCCTTACCCAAGCCTCCTCACTGCAGGCTGATCAACGTCACCATCCACTTCCAGCTAAAGACCATCAACCTCCAGAGCCTTATCAACAATGAGATCCCAGACTGCTATACCTTCCACGTCCTGGTGAGCCCACGGTGTCCAGGGTGACGGCAGTGGGGGCCCGCAAGGCTCTGAGTCGGGGGGTAGGGACCCTTGGCCTGCCATGGGGCTGCTGGGGTAGTCTGGGGCCCCAGAGACCACCACTCCTGCAGGTCTGGGAGCCCAGGCCTGCCAAGGTTCACTCTATCCCCTCCTGTCCCACCATACCCCTGCAGATCACATTTGACAATAAGGCCCACAGCGGGCGTATCCCCATCAGCCTGGAGACCCAGGCCCACATCCAGGAGTGTAAGCACCCCAGTGTCTTCGGGCATGGTGAGCCCCCAAGCCCCAGACAAGTACCAACCAGGGGTCCCAACATACCCAGGGATCCCCAAGCCCCAGACCAGTGGGGACTGAGCTTCCAACTCACCCAGAGTGACCCATGAGCCCATTGACCAGCACAAACCAGCCCTGCAGCCCCCTAGGCCTGGCCCTACCGGAGCCCCCTCCCCACAGGAGACAACAGCTTCCGGCTCCTGTTTGATGTGGTCGTGATCCTCACCTGCTCCTTCTCCTTCCTGCTGTGTGCCCGCTCCCTGCTCCGTGGCTTCCTGCTACAGAACGTGAGCCACCCCCAGCACTGCCCACGCACCGAGCCAGCCTCGCCCACTCCGGGGCGACAAGGGCGGGCCTTTGGGAGTGGGGTAGGGGCGGTGGTGGGAGTGTCCTGTGCCTGGATGTGTCCTCACCCCGCCTGTGTCCTGCAGGAGTTTGTCAGGTTCATGTGGCGGCAGCGGGGACAGGTCATCAACCCGTGGGACCGGCTGGAATTTGTCAATGGCTGGTACATCCTGCTGGTCACCAGCGACGTGCTCACCATCTCGGGCACTATCATGAAGATAGGCATTGAAGCCAAGGTGGGTCCTGCCCAATCCCTGCTGGGAAGTCTGACATCTTCCAGATCTCAGACTCACTGATGCCTGTCTGGGGCCACAGTGCCCCGGAAGGGCCAGGCCAGGAGGGGTGACGCTGATCCCGCCCGTAGAACCTGGCAAGCTATGATGTCTGTAGCATCCTCCTGGGCACCTCAACGCTGCTTGTCTGGGTCGGCGTCATCCGCTACCTGACCTTCTTCCATAAGTACAATGTAAGCCTCCCACGTGCTGGCCAGGCCCCTGCTCCCCAGTTCCCACCCTCTGAATACATTCATACACAGGAAAGCGATCACCAGCCACTGTAAGTGGCCTGTCATGAGTCCCTTCCCATACCTGCCCACCCCAGACATTCCTGTCACCACGCCTGGACAGGAGGCCACGGGAGCCGGCCCCTTCATACCCACCCAACCGAGTCCAGCCATGTAGTGGCCCCAGGTACAGGTGGTACAGGGGCCCCCCACCTTCATCTTGGCCCCCATCTGCCTGCTGCAGATCCTCATTGCCACGCTGCGGGTGGCCCTGCCCAGTGTCATGCGCTTCTGCTGCTGTGTGGCTGTCATCTACCTGGGCTATTGCTTCTGTGGCTGGATTGTGTTGGGGCCCTATCATATGAAGGTAGGGGCTGGCTGGGGGTGCGGGGGTGCTCATGACCCCATCAAGGGGCCCCTGGCTCCTGCAGGACCACTTCTTAAACCCTCTGACCCCTGGTCTGTCTAGCATGGACTGGGGGACACTGTATGACCCACCTCAGC